TGCCTTCTATAGATACTAAATTCAGGTGGCCAAGTCCCATCTAAGGTAGCAGCACACCTCTGTTGTAAGCCCTCATTTTCTGTCTCCATAGATTAAAATCCCCAGTTCCCTTCCAAATTTCTACTTCAAACTTATGTGCAGTAGACATTATTAAAAGAACAAGCAAACAAAAACAAATAGTATGCTACACGGTAATTAAAAATTATTGGAAGTATGTAAAGCTTCAAGAAGTCACAGACTATAAAAGATGCTAACAAGTGATTAGTCAGTAACCACAGTATCATGCAAGAATAGTAACTTCTTGAAAATGTTTAAGGAGCGATAATCCTTTTATCCCTTACTCCCTCAGATTCTCAAATCCTCAATGAGATCTTGGACAAAGGAAAGTAGAGGAGCGCTACTTATCTTACTAACCAAATCAGAACAGACAATGCAATGAGTAANTCAATGAGATCTTGGACAAAGGAAAGCCGGAGATGATTACTTACCTTAATAACAAATTTCAAGAATTGATACAGGTACTGAAATAATATGAGGTTTCAGAGAATACCAGAAGCTGATGAGAACATAACCTCAGAGCAGGTGCAGGAAGCAATGAGTCACACAGACTCAGTGAAGAAGAAGGTGGAATCAGAGGAGTCAACTAAGCTAACCACGACTCAATATGAGTAGAACGAGTTACCACGACCCAGTAACGAGTTATATCAAGATTATCACAAACTCAGTAAAAGAGAATCAGATCAGAAGAGATGTGCCAGGGTAAAACGATTTTCAGAAAAATCACGCTGATCAGTTTGCAAAAGTTTAGACTCCTTTGTCTTTAGAGAAGAGTTAATCCATAAAATTTAACCAAAAATTTATTTTTCACAAAGTTCTTTTCAAAGAAAGCCAAGATATGTACACTAAACAAATTTTAACAAAGTTAGGGTTTCTGAAAATCGTATACCACACAGATCGACAAACAATAGTGGCTCTGATACCACTTGTTGGTCCCAAAGTTCACAAAGAACACTAAAACTAAGTAAAGTGCAAGAAATAAAGAAACAACACAAAGA